CACTCACACCCGCTCACTGTGTCAGAGCATGACGTGAGGAGGACACTGAGAAAGGTAAACACCAGGAAGGCTGCCGGGCCAGATGGTATTTCTGGCAGAGTGCTGAAGTCCTGTGCTGACCTGTTAGCTCCAGTGTTTACCACCATCTTCAACCTCTCCCTGAGTCAGTCTGTGGTCCCCACATGCCTGAAAAAAGCCATTATTGTCCCTGTACCGAAGAATGCCTCTCCAGCTTGCCTTAATGACTATCGCCCAGTAGCACTCACCTCAGAAGTGATGAAGTGCTTTGAGAGACTCGTCAAGATGCAAATCTGCTCCTTGCTCCCTGAGTCTCTGGATCCACTTCAGTTCACATACAGACTGAACAGATCCACAGATGATGTTGTCTCCCAGGTACTGCACACCACCCTCACCCATCTGGACAGAAGGAAGGGGGACTATGTGAGACTGCTGTTTATTGATTTTAGTTCAGCTTTCAACACCATAGTCCCCGCCAACCTCCATTCCAAGCTGATCAACCTCGGATTTAACACCTCCCTGTGTGCTTGGATCCTGGACTTCCTGACGAACAGATCCCAGGTGGTCAGAGTGGGTAGACACACCTCCAGCCCCTGCACCCTCAACACTGGAGCACCACAGGGCTGTGTCCTCAGCCCCCTGCTCTTCACCCTGTACACACATGACTGTGTGGCCACAAGCAGCTCCAACATCATCGTGAAATTTGCAGATGACATGGTGGTTGTTGGTCGCATCAGCAACAGTGATGAGCAGATATATACAGGTTGGAAACCTGTCACAGTGGTGCCAGGACAACAACCTGCTCCTGAACGTCAGCAAAACCAAGGAGCTGATTGTGGACTTCAGGAGAGGACAGCAGAGGGATTCCACCCCACTGAGAATTGATGGGACGCTGGTGGACAGGGTGTGCAGCTTCATCTCTGAGGATTTAACATGGACAACCCACATAGACAGTCAGGTGAAGAGGGCGAGGCAGCGCCTCTATCACCTCAGACAGCTGAGGAAATTCAAAGTCTCTGTGAAGGTCTGAAGACTTTTTATTCCGGAGCGGTGGAGAGTGTGCTGACTGGAAACATCACCCAGTGGTACGGGAACAGCACTGTACGTGACCAAAGAGCCCTGCAGAGGGTGCTGAAGTCAGCAGAGCGTACCATGGGTACAACACTCCCCACCATCCAGGCCATCTTCACAAGGAGGAGCACAGCCAGGGCAAAGAGGGTCATAAGTGATCCCCACCACCCAGGTAATGGCAGGCGCAGGCGCCTTCGACACATCAAGGCGAACACAGAAAGACTCAGGAAGAGCTTCTTTCCTCAGACTGTTAACTCCACTCTCCTCAGTTAAAAACAAAACAGAGCTGTGACTACATGATGCACACACACCACACATTCCAATCTGCACATTGCACTTTGACACCCTCGACACTTTACACTGTTTAAATTAACCCTATATTTTGTACATTCAAATAATTTTTTTTTTTTTTAATTTTTACATTATATTCTATTTTACTGGACCCTGGACACTTTACACACTGACACTTTACACTGTTTACATTACTCTATAGTTTATATTTCGTACATTCAAATAATTCTTTTTTATTTTTTTACATTATATTCTATTTTACTGTATATATGTGTATTAGTAATTTGAGTGTTATTGCATGGCCTTGCGGAACAGTCCTTACATTTCACTGCACATCTGTATGAGCATGTGACAAATAAAAATCTTGAATCTTGAATCTTGAATCTTGAATCTAATACTATACATTATTCTGCAAGGTGCTGTGTCCTAAACAAATACAAACAACTGCACATTCCTTTCTAAAGATTTCTTTTGGGGATTTTTTTGCCTTTATCTGAGAGACAGGACAGAGGGTAGAGTCAGAAATCTGTGAGTGAGAGAGTGTGGAACAACTTGCAACAACAGTCCCTTGAAGGAAAGCATCTGTTGGCTGGGTTTACCTCCATGGGGCCTGGTCAGGCTAAGCCTTAAGAAATAACGTGGAGCCACTGCCATGTAGGCCCACCATCCGCAGGAAGAGGCATGGGGGGCCACGTGCAAAGGCAGGGGCCTGGGCAAAGCTTTTCCCAGCAACGCAGACTGGTTCTTTGGACATGGAACATGACCTTACCAACAGGGAAGAAGCTGGAGTTGTGTGTTAGCTTGAGCGCTACCAGCTGATCTCAAGGCACAGCTCCAGGTCTGGAACATAACTCCTGGAGAGGCACTGAACTCTCTACTAGTCCAAAGTTGCCCAGAGTGAGAGGCGCTAGGTGGGTGTGGGGATGCTCACAAGCCCCCGGCTACCTGTACAGGTATGGCTCAAAGGGTTTCAGCTTCAGTGGTTGTACAAGCAAAAACCCGGATACGGAAGGTGTACGAGGAGGCTATGGAGAAGGACTTTTCGATTGGTCTCAAGGAAAATCTGGCAAACTGTCTGACTGCTCAGGAGGGGAAAGCAAGACTTGCCCCAAGCTGTAATCAGTAGGGGTGGAGAACTGCTGCCCCGGACAAATGACACCATTGGGCATTGGAAGAATCTGTATTGGTTAAGGACCGTCATGGTGACGAGGAAGCTGAGCCTGATTTAACATGAGCTATGGGTAGTGACAAAAAAAGTAGCCCAAATTAATTTTCTTCCAGAGGGTGTCTGGGCTCAGCCTTAGAGATAAGGGGGAATGGCTCAGACATTCAAAAAGTAGCCCAAATTAATTTTCTTCCAGAGGGTGTCTGGGCTCAGCCTTAGAGATAAGGGTGAATGGTTCAGACATTCGGGAGGATCTCGTAGTAGACCAGCTACTCTTTTGCATGGAAAAAGAGCCAGTGAAGGTGGTTTGAGCATCTGATTAGGATACCTTCTGGATGCCTCCCTTTGGAGGTTTTTTTTCGGGCACGGCGAACTGGGAGGATACCTTAAGGTAGATCAAGATCCACCTTGTTGGATGGATTGTGAATCCCGTCTGGCCTGGGCTGGAAAGTAAAGGTCTGAGTTGACTTACTTTGCGTGTTGCCACTACAACCCACCCTCGGATAAATGGAAAAAAATGCACGGACGGATTGAATTTAAAAACAACACTGGTCCTTTAGATTCTAAAGTGAGTGTGTTAAGAAATAACTCAGTCTCACCAAGATTGGATTTAGTTAATTTGCAAAGTTAGTTACTAACTGAACACGCTGATTACAATTACTGATTATTTTTTTTGAAAATTATAATTAAGGAAAGTAATGCGAGTGACATACTGCACGGATAAGGTAGTGTGTCATTGCAATATATAATAGCTCTCTCACTCTGACTGGACCATCCATTCACAGTTTGAAGCCCTATGTATGTCAAACTATTGTTTTTTGTGAAACTCAAGATTTCACAGAAATACATCCATTAGCTCGAGTCTGTAGTTTGAGTGACTTTGAAGGAGCGATGTCCTTCGGTTTAAGCTCTTATCTCCGTTAACATTGCAATCAATCCCTTCCCTCTATCTTTATGACCTCTAACCAACAAGCCCAGCCCTGCTCTCAACCCTTCTCTTCCTCCTTAATATTCTCATTATTCACTTCATCTGCTGCTTACTGTTCAGCTGACTGATCTGAACAATTAGAACTGGAGAGTAAAAGAAAATACTGAGAGAGAAAATCTCCACAGAGGACCCACAAGAGTCAAAATGCAGAGCATTCAATACAGGCCAGGTTTCAGAAGTAATGATCTGTTAGTTAATTGGACATCATAGCTTTTGTTGTATAGAAGAAACCCTTTTAAATCCTTTTCTTCAATTGCTTTTTTTTCCTTTTAGTTTTTAGGAGCTATAAAAAAAACCTGTCATGCTCAGAAATCTTTATTTAAGCTCCTGTAAGGATTTCCTTTAGCTGGTAATGAAACATAATCAAATTCTTACGTAACTTCATGATCTAAGAAAAGCAAAAAATACATTTTACAAAAATATTCAATATTTCTATGAAGTTATTTGTAATGCCTGTCCTCTCTGCCACAGGGTTGATGTCAGATGAGGAGATAAACAGCATGCTGCAGAAACAGACCTTTACATTTTTACTCTGCCTAAGATGCAGTATGATTTAGACATTGGTAATACTAATTTTCTGTTCTGGAAAAAAACAATGACTTACACATGTACACAACATCATTGCCAGATAGATAAACTGTTCTAAAATCAACATACAGAAAATATAAAAGGAGCTTTTAATAAAAAAGTAGTAACTCTCAGGATCTGTTTCTTTGCTCCATTGAAACCACAGCTCTTTGAGTTCTCTGCCTCTTCCTGCACTGAATGTTGTCTATTTTATTATTTGTTTAATATGTATTTTTTTCCTTTACTGTGCAAATAAATAAATGCTAAATACTGCATAACTACAGGTGGTGGTGGAGAAGAAAACCTAGGCTTTAGTTGATATTGTGGGAGCAATACAACCAAAATCCACTGATCCAATGAGAAGAGAGAGACAAGTTTCATCACACATGTCCACACACAATCCCTTTAATCAAACAGACCCTTTAAAAATAACATTTAACCCTTGCAATAGATTCCTTCAGAAAACTACCGGTCAAGGTCAGGCAGATCTGAATTCACTGATTAAGACATTTACCTTCATGCTTGTATCTGCACACACAGTTAGCACCAAAATAACGGAACACTTTTCACAAGTCTTTACATGCATATGGTGCAAATGCAGCACATAAAACTGACAATGCTTTAACCCTGAAATAATAATATATCAATATTAATATTATGTAATACTGCTTCATATCACAACTATGGTTTAAAGACTCTGCAGGCAACCTTCCGATGAAGTCGCTATGTGTTTAAAAAGTTGCAGAACATTGTTACCTTCTGTAATAAGCACATGGCTGTTTTCACTCATGTTAGCAGTAACTGTGTCATTTTCTGTTAGTTATTATGTGTCATCGTCAAATGTTTCAGTCACACAGACAGAGGCACTAGGTACATGAAACTCCCACTTCATTGCCCTACCTGTCCAAAGACCGAGTCCACGATGGGTCGCAGCTTTCTCCTGTCCCCCTCCTTCAGCCAGAGGTCCTCGGGGTTCTCCACGGGGGAAGACAGACTCAAGGTCTTGGCCTTTTGCTTTGGATGCCTCTTCATGCTTGCTGAACTCCATCGCCTCAACGACTCGATCTTCTTCTTGATAGAACCCTGGAGAAGAAAAGAAAAGAAGCTTGAAGTTGTCGTACTTGGAAAGAGACAGAAAAGTAGGCCGGGAGAGAGAGAGAGACCTGTGTGAGCAATGATTATTCATGCTGGAAAGATTATGAATGATGAAACAGTTGAACACTTAGGACAGAAAAGGAAATAAAGTTGAGGTGGGGAAACAGCATTTAATACAAGATAAGAGACGTTTTCTAAAAATGAAAAGTTGTATTTCTTTGCACACATAGTTGTTCTCTTAATTATATTGTGTTTAAATAAAGGAAAACTAACCTACTAAAATCAATAGATTAGTGTGTGTTCATTCAGGGGTTGGGTCACCACAGTATATCACATGAAGTGAGTAAGAGCAGCTGTGGCAGGATTAAGGACACTGCAAAGTCATATAACTACATTCACATCCACTGACCTTTTTCATTAACTTCCCCTCTGGCACCTCCATGGTTGCTACGCTTTTGGCGTCAGTCATCTTTGCAGAGCTGCTTGCATGCACAGAGGCTTCCTCGTTCTCTCTCTCTCTCTCTCTCTCTCTCTCTCTCTCTCTCGGCCTGCACGCTCCTGTCCACTCCTCCTCTTTAACTGCCTCTAGAGCATCTGACACCAGTTGATAATCCGAGGCATATCATCCACTGTTGTTGCTCCTCCTGCTCTCATCTCCCTCTCTCTCTCATTCATCCCTCCTCTGCATGTGTCCACATGGACCCCTCACTCATACTCTGTCAGTTTTTATACTCCCTTAATCATGTGTAGGCCCTCTGACATGAATTAAAAAAATACTTTTTATGAATTGAACAATGATATACAAACAGTCACACATTGTCTTTTGTGAGCAGCGCACCATTTTCTGTGCATGTATGTGACATGTGAAATAATCCCCTATTCACTTCCTCTCTGTCTCTCTCTGATCTCATCTGTTCCCAAGCTGATGTAGGCTGCTGTCCTCAATCCTCTGCCCTTTATATTGCTTCCTTTTGTTTATTACATTCACCATATGGGCCTTTGCAGACTGACCATTTTACAAATTCAATTTAGTATAAAATTACATTTCTATTTATAGAATACAAAGAAAAGATGGGACATGACTGGTAAAGTATATGTTTCTGAATTCAAGGCCACACATGTGACTGAACAGAGCTTAAGTTCATATAAATTGAATTATGTTGATTTTTGGACATGCCTGATATTATTCTCTGCAGAGTATCACAAGAGAACCGATGGAAAAACAAAGAGAGGAGAGAAGTGCTAATAAATAAACAATAATAAGCTTTTTAATTTGTGAGGGGAACAAAAACTGTTTACTATAGATAAGAACCAAGTATTAATCAAAACATTAAGCACTCAATCTGTGAGAGTTTAGCTGTTCTACTACTTTATTTCCCAGAGATTTGTTTTTTTTAGTTATGCAGTATCTGTGAACGTAAATTGTAAATCCAAGGCAGAGTGTTTACCTCTTTTTCACCATGAAGCATGTCAGATACTGCAGTTTGCCTTTGTTTTAGGACCAACTTGAAAATGGCTCTGATGTTTATATGCTTGCTTGTAAACGCCATATTTGGAATATACTAAAACCGGGATAAGGCTCATAACCGGGATACTCAAGTCAATGTCAATGCACTCCTTTTTCTGGGAACCACAGAGGTTATTCACAGGACTCATATAATGGGTCCAAATATTGTGATTCTAACTTGAACATGCATGTTACATAACATGTCACATGTGTCTCGTCAATGCATGTAATGTTCATTAATTAATTCATTTATATCAATCAGTTGTTCAGTTTAGATGAATTGTTGCTCACATACATACAGGCCTGTGACTGTAAGATTTTGTTCATACCATAAAAATACATTTTCATTTGATCTATTTTTGTTGTACTTGATTAGAACACAATAGAATGATATGCAATAGAAAATAAAAAAATAGAATATAATTAAATTAAATTAAATTAAATAGAAAGCAATAGAAAAGAAAAGACATCTTTGTTGTCCATTTCCTCAAAGTCAATTACCACTTGTTAGTTACTGCAGCCCATCAGTGTTTGGCCACATAATTATACTGCAGTAAAACAAAGACAAAACTGAAAGGTCAACCTGAAGGTCAAACTACAATATACTTGAAAGTCACTGCTCTCTCATCTTATCAGCTATTCAATTGGTCATTAAATAGAATTATTTGCTTACACTTGGCAACCTTCTTTCTTTTCCTTTCTAAGAAACTAAGGTGAAACTGGACTGTACAATGAAGCATTATTTGTTGCACACATTCTAATTTACTCAGTAAGTAAGGTGTAACTGGACTGTGAAAGAAATCATGGTTTACCAGGCTCTTACCAAATCATTCCTTTTCCATATTACAAATAAAGCACTTCAACATATCCACGAGGAAAGTACCAGTTTAAGAAACTATGAAATGCTGCATGACTGTAACACTGACCTCAGGTCCAGTCTTTGTACAGACAGGAAATTTAGAAAATGTCTTCACCCCAGCTTCCTGAAAATACTGTTTGCAAGTCCCAGCAGCAAACAATTGACTTGATCGTACAAGTGGTGTCACAAGACAGAGCAGTAACTGGCAATAAGTAAAAAAATAAAGCTTTGCTTGAAGAGAGTCTTGCCCTCAGATATCTCATATCTAAATTAAGATTACCGTAAAGAAGGTCCACTCACCTTCTGGACCTGTCCTGATTTCTATAGTCTGACTGCAAGGAGCCACCTGGGATTGACATTTCACCTCAAACTTGAAGCTACAACCAGTGCTGTCCCCACCCTGGAGCCAAGACGTAAGTGCAATACAACTTGCTTAACAAGATGTTCATTTGTTATACTCTCTTATTCTATTCTTCACCAGAATCGGTTGATCTTAAGTGACCTCTTTTTAAATTTTTAAAAGAAGGGTTATTTTCCACTATACTTTTTTTTAAAACCCCAATTCAAAGATGTGTGAAGAGATAAATGGAAGGTACAACATAATGGTGGCAGGTTAATTTTAAATACCTTTACAACAATAGGATGATTGCTGTTAAAGATTCATGGGATTTCTTTAACTAAAAGGAAAGATATTAAGTAAAACCTGCAGTTACTGCATTTCCAGTCTGTAACTTCTTTTGTCCTTTTTTTTTAATAAGGGTTCTAATTACTCCTTTTCTTCTGTGCGGACCAGAGCATGATGTTCTAACTAATGGGCATTGAGTGTGCTTACATTTTTTAAGCCAGCATCTGTCAGCTATGAACAGTGGAGCATTAAACCCTTTAAAGCAATCCCAGCCCTCCCTCCACTTACTTGTTCATTCTTTCCCCTATCTCTTATCACTAGTGCTTTATATAATCTCCCCGGCTCCATCTGACACAGCCAATGTTCTCACTGTTCTCTTGCGGGTTCATTATCTTAATCCTTATCTGTGTGTTTGATCTTGTAAGAAGCACAATAACTCTAATCTATACGTCTGCAAGGTTCCATTCACTTGAATTACACCAAGAAGTGTTTAGAATATTCATTTGTAAACATAACTTATACTCTGAATATTCACAATATGGTTTAGTTTGTCTGTTCTTTTGTCTGTTCTTTTACTCCTGTAACTTCTCTCACCATTCACATTTACCCCTTTACTTACCTGAAATAATGTCCCACTCTCTAAAGAATCATGACTAACTTCTGAGTGTTTCTTTTGAACTTAATTCATCAGTTGAGTTTCTTTATCAGAACACAGTTTTGACTTGTTGTGTCATTGTAACAACCTAAAGAGACAATGCCAATATAGTTGCTACTGCTGTACAGCAGTGAGTGGGAGAGAGGCATTTTGAGATGAAAGTGGTAGCATAATTACCCTGAGCACCAGTGTTGTAGTACTCTAAATCCATCTTTGTCTCAAGACCAGTCTCGAGGCCACTTTATAAAGGTCTCGGTCTCGTCTTGGAATCGACTGTATTTTTACTCTGTCTTGTCGCGTTCTCAGATTTAAGTGAAAACCGGTCAAGACCACCACTGAAAAATTATTTTTCCAAGTCATTACTATGATAGAAGGAAAACGCCCCTCTTGAAAAGAATGAATAACTTCAATTCATTTGTAGTTGGATTTTTATCTCCCAGTTAAGGCCACAACCTTCCTGGTGTTACGGGCTAAGTAAGGTACTCGCCTGCTGCACACAAGTTAATGGTTTTTTTCGGTGATATTTATGGTCTTGGTCTTGTCTCGGTCTCTGAGCACTCTGGTCTCACGTATGTCTTGGTCTCTGTTATTGTAGTCTTGACTAAAAAACGACTGACCAAAATGATCTTTCAATCTTGGGGTAATAAAAGTTTCTTACTCATACAGCACTTTGAGAGAGATAGGCTTAAGACCTTTGGCATCAGAATGATTAAACATCATGATCATGTTGAGCTAGTGATCATAGAGTCTGAGACAAAGAGTTGTATAGGTTTTGTTTGTTTGGAAAAAGCCACAGTTCAAAGATTTTTGGGTTTGACAAAAAGCTACTAGGGTAACAGCCATCCATTCAAGGCACATTACCACTGCTATACATTTTTTTAAGAGAGAAATGTTGAAATTTGGTGCAACATGTAACTGTTTTACAATGATTGATTTGTCTATATGTGTCAAACTGATGGTTCATGATGCTTTTTTCCATGGCTAAAAGTTTTTACGCTAAAAAAACCTTAAAATAATCTGTTTATGAGATTAAGTTATAATACTTTATCCACAATGACATCAAAATGTAGTCATTTTTTAATAAAAGGTATCTTAATGTATTCAGTACTGTTTACAGTAAAATTATCTAATGGGCTTAGAAAACACGAGAAAAAACTCCAGGGCAATTACTCTAAAATGATTTAAATGCCTTTTTTTCACGACGTGCATGGTAGACAGAAACAAAATCATGCAGTGAAAATAAAAACATTTTGATTGTTGAATGCCTTGTTGAGTTTTTTCTTGTCTTTTGACTACATGTGTCCCATTACAGAGAGCATCTTAAAACACCAGGAAGCATTTTTTGAACAGTATCTTTGTAGGCTTAATTTAGGTTAAATTAAAAGTAGCCTATGTCTGAATTGTTTAGGAAAGCCTGAAGGCGCAAATGGTGTCATTTCATTTTATTATTTTTTGAATAAAGTGAACCTTGATTCAACAATGATTGAACATTTCTGCTCAAATGGGACTATATTTTGGTTAAAGTTTCAAAGATGTAGCACGCAAAACTGATTTCTGGTGAATTAAAATGCAATGTTTTTAAAAATGTAATTCAAAGGAAGGTAGGGAAGGCATCATTATATTTTTAGAGGGCTAGTTGGATATAACTAAAAGATAGGGAAATGAAAATAAATACATAAATACATATTATGCTTCTGAAAAAAAATGCACAGACATGTATAGTCCTATAAAAATAATTTCATAGCATTTACATATTTTTGTTTTGTAATGTTCATATGCACATTGCTGGATGTCAAACATTTCACTAAAGTTTGAACTTTGGAGCTTGATTCTTTCTTTTTACACATTCCTCCTCTCCCATTTCTTTGTGATTTTGACTTTACTGTAATTGTTTAATGGAATAAAAGCAGCCAAAACATAAAGAGAGAATATGAACGTAGTGGAAGTGACAATGAGACAAGTTCCAAAGGGAGGGAGAGAGATAGATAATCTCCTGTAACTGGATGGCTGAGAAGTAGGCGCTTTAGATGTCAGTCTGACCTGTGTGCTTTAATCCCGCTTTGCCTTTATATTCTGAATCTTCACTCTGCAATATTATCTTCAAATTACAACAACCTCCATTGTAATCCCATCCTGCTGTGGCCTATATTACACTTCAGCCTGTGTATGTCAGTCTGATTGAGAGTGATGAAACAAGATTATTCTGATGACATCAGTGAGACAGTCAAAATGTATATGAAACACAATCTCAGGAACGTGGTTTTACATCAATTCAGATTTGAAGTGCTTTTGGATTACAGGACCTGACAAACACAGTCCTGTTGTATCGCATCATGTCTGTTGTTTATTTAATCAGTGCTATAGGGCTCTCTGGTGGCAAAACGTAGACACTGCATGAACCCCAAATCTAAAAACCAAGAACGAATACCATAGTGCAGCAGATAAATCATTACAGTTTACTATCTTTTATTCATGCCATGACTACTAGGTTTTATCAATCAACCTTCTGTGTTCCTTGACAAATCAGAGGCCATTTATTTATTTTATTTTCATATATTGTATTTGGAAAAGTTGAGAAATTAAAAGGACAAGGAAACCAAAGGACTTTAACTGACAGAAAATGAACTTACAACAAGCCAACCAAAGGATGACTAGGTCTTCATACTAAAACGTTTCAATTCAATATGAAAGCAATACAGACAAACAAAACAAATCTCATCATAATAATAATTATTCAAATGTATGGCAGTAAGTGAATCCAGCTAGTGATGTGAAAAGCAGTTCTTTTCAGTGTACTGAATCAGTAGAATCAGTTCAGTAAAGTGATTCGTTCAAAAGATTCGTTCACTGAATCGTTCAGTACTTCTCTGCAGCTCTGTCTGTGAATCAGAAGTTAATAAGCTGAAACACGGCCGAACGTTTAGTTCTGCTCGCGATCTTACTGAGAACAGCCGGTGGTGAATAATAAACCAATGAGCTGAGAATTTAGTTGGATAAAGCCACAGTTTACAAACTGAAAGCTGCTAAAACAATCACGTTTATTTTCCCCGACCGTTCAGTACACAAATCACTCACTGACTGAGAGGAAGAGAGTGACTCGTAGGCGGAGCGCTCGTTCAGTGATTCACGTCGGAGCGCCGCCTCCGAGTCACTCTCTTCCTCTCAGTTCGTTCAGTGAACGTGAACGAGCGAGACTGCGAGTCACCAGCCTCAGCCTCAGTCACACACACACACACACACACACACACACACACACACACACACACACACACACACACACACACACACACACACACACACACACACACACACACTGTACTGACTGAAACACGATAGTTAGTAGATGTTAAAACAGTCAGCTGAGTGAAATTGAGTTGGATATAAAAGACGTTTGTAAACTGACGGCAGCTATAAAAAGCACATACATTTTCGCGACACCTAAATGTTAAATAATATATTTTCTACTTCCTCAATTTTGGAGACATGAGAGGGAGAAGTAGGGGCGGGCTTTAGTGACACAGAGCTCCCGACCGACTCTGTCCTGTTGGTTCAGTCAGTACGTATCACTGACATGAAAGGAGAGGGAGGGCGGGCTTTGAGTGACTCTTGCGGTCTGGAGAGAGAGACACGAGACGGGAGAGAGGAGAGTGCAACTGAAGTTGAGAAATGAACGACTCTTTTCAGTAAGTGATTCAGTTCAGTTCGTTCACCCAGATGATTCGTTCGTTTTGAACGAATCGTTCATGACCGACACATCACTAAATCCAGCATTGTGTTTTACATTTTTGAGAGAATTCAAACTTAGTCAAAATGCAGGATCTGGGATAGAGTCAAGCAATGAAGAAAAAAACACTAGAAGAGTACAGCCTTGAGATAACTGCTGATATGAGCTCATAGAGTTTAAAGGGGCACTATGGTTTGGTCGTGAAATTTGAAAGTTGGAGAAGTGAAATAATTCTATGCTTTATTTTCTGAACTAAATGTGTCCCTGGACACTGTTTGAAGTTAAAAAGCAATGAGTAGAGTTACGGTTTCACTGTTGCGGACGCCCCACCATAACTTCTTGGGTAGCATTTTATCTTCAAACTGTGTTACAGGGTCCAAATTTTACTCTGAGGAAAGTTTGTGTATAAAGTTATGAACATATACAACCGAATCTGTACATTTCTCCAACTTTCACATTTCTCTACCAAAACTCCATAGTGGACCTTTAAATGCCAAAAATTACATGCTGATGCAATATTCACTTATAAACATAAATACACAAAATCCATCCCAGGTCAAGACAACAGAATTTTGTTTAGGATATTTTTGTTCATAAATCACAGTTTATATCAACAACAAAATAGAAAATGGCCATACATTGGATTTTCTGCTTGGAACCACAAGCCTTTAACAAATCTCCCAGCAATCCATCCAATTATAGTTGAAATACTTCAGTTGACCAAAGTGGTGGGTGGACCAACCTTCATACCCTGTGCTGTTAGCATGGCAGAAAATCATGTCAATAAATGCTTCTATTTCCCTTTCCACATGCTTTTAGTGGCATTACTCTTGAAGTCATAGATCATAGGGTGCATTGGCCTAGCTCCACATGTACATTTGAAGATATCTCCCATGGTAAAGGAACATCAGCTTTACGCTTAAGCAACACAAAGGCAAAAATCCAAGAGTCTCATCTTTCTTGAAAGAAAACAATCAATGGTGAGTAGAGTTAGGGTTCTCTTTGGCATTCTGGCCACTACGCCTTCATTTAAAATTCCCCTTATTTTTACATGAACTTTTCAAGCCTTTGGTATTTTCACTACTTTCTTTAAGAGTGGCATTGTTTTATCTTAGTTAAGTGAGAGTCCTAATCCTGTTCCACCTCGTTGTACGATCCTTGTCTGGTACGATCCATGCATATCTCCTTGAGGCCAATAGAGGGCGAAGGTGGTGGGTAGGAGGGTTGAAAGTCAGAAGGACAAGGTGAACATGAACCCTTTGGCATTCCAAGATTCACATCTCGACTGCTCTTCCGTCTGATATGAGCTCTTAAACTTCTCCCTGGCACCGTCAGTAAGCCGCCTCCTTCTTCCACCAGGCCGTCAAACACTGCACCCAGACTCTGTTGTATTCGCACACAAAAGTTTGGGCAGCTGAAGGCGTACAGAATGGGGTTCAACACTGGATTCAGAAAAGCAAAGGTTGTGGCCAAGGGAAGCCCGACCTCCACCAGGTAAAGATTATTGTGCCAATACTGGGCTGTGACTTCAATCATGCAGAAGATGTGATAGGGAGCCCAGCATAGTGCAAACGCTGCTATTACAAATGTCACCATCTTGGTGAAGCTCTGGGACAACTGGCTGGGATTAGTAGAAGGGGACAAGGCAGTCGGTGTCAGAGCTAAAGATGGACCAGAGGATGGAGGCTTGAGAAAGATATTGGTTTTCATGGTTGTAGGAGTGTTTGGTGATCCAGATGCCCCGTTGTTGTTTGAAACAATCATTGCGTCAGTGAGCCTGCTGGCACTCTGCTTCCTCCTCCTTCTCCTTTTTCTCAGACTGACACCAATTTGGATGTAGCTCCCAGCAATCATCACCAGAGGGAACAGGAAGGCAACCAGCAACTTGGAGATAGCGGTCGCTGCCTGTCTCACTTTGCAGTCTCTCTCCAGAGTTACTCGAGGGGATGAATACAACGCAAAATTATGATAGCACAGTTTTCTCCCATCCTGTTTCTCAGTCACAGAGCGGAACAGGAGGTATGGAAATGTATTAACTGCCGCCCACAACCAGCCCAATGCACACACCTTCCACGCTCCGGCCACTGACCGATGATTCTGGCTCCACACCGGCTTGGCCACTATAAGGCAGCGATCGAGTGAAATGGCTGCTAACAGGAATGCTGACACAAACATGTTTAAGAAGAAGATGGAAGCCTGTGCTTTGCAAAGTGGGCCACCAAGCTCCCAGCTATGTGAGGAGCTAAGGTAGAAGGTGAAGAGTGGCAGGGTCAGAGTCGCCAAGAAGTCAGACATGGCCAGGTTAAGCACCCAAACAGAAGCCACAGTACGGCGCCGAAGACGGAAGCCCACTACCCAGAGGATGAGGGCATTCTCCAAAATCCCCAGGCAGGAAACAAGGCCGTGGATGCAAACCACCACAATATTAGCCTTTGTGTTATTGTTGAGGCTGTGTTCCTTCATGGCCTGTAGCAGAGGGCAGAACAGCTGCTCTCCCGTCACATTCGACATTGTGCTGTGAAAAAATAAAAATAAGGTCAGTGATTGTAGCAACTGGTTCGTGGACTAAATAGCCTCATGTTTGGTATTCAGCCATGACCATTTTGTGTCACCCAGAACTGATTAAACCAACAGTTAAGCATTGTAGTGCTTTATGCTTGTTGACTTTCTGCCTTCAAAAGACTTTTCCCCTTACATATATACAATGCCCTATAAGCACTCCCTGATTTATCGTAACTGTTACTCTAAATAATAAACATAATGTTTTAAATAATTGAGAACATAAATGAATTCACAACATGTTCACTTAGTTGGTGAATTAACTGAGAGGTTGTGTATTTTATTTCATAGTTTTCATTTTTAAGAGGCCACAATAAAAATGCACACGTTTTTGCACTGGAACTACGGTGGCTGGGAGGTGCAAAACAAAATTACAAAGTGTGAAACACTTTGGCAAAAATGTGAGACAATTTTACATTTTGAAAAACATTATTTCTTTTTATAAAACAAAATTACAAAACCATAACACTTTTACCAAGGTGAAAACAAATGTACATTTTATAAAACAAATTTACAAGATGTGAAACACTTTTAAAAGTGCTGAAACAAATTCACAAGTGGCAGAACACTTTTACCAGTCCCCAAACAAATGTACAAATAACAGAATCTTGACGCAAAGGTTTTTTTTTACATAATGTACTTGTAAACATGTCAGGCTGCCCTGAAATCCTCCTGAGTTTGTAGTTCACAAGCATCTCACTGCGGGAGTCTATCCATCAGGAATCATGACCATAATATCAACAAAAGAGCAGAAAACATAATGATGCAGTTTAAGTGTGTTCACCCAGATCACAACTCCCACTATGCAGTCTATGATTGTACACCAGACGCAGGATAGAAACGTCATCACCCCTTGCCACCCGCTCACTCTGAAAAAACGTATCCCTACTTCATGTGGAAAATATACTTGTGGGCTGGCAGGGAAATCTGATTGAGAGATTCAGCTGCTTGCATTTATTCATGCAGCTAACAGGGCGGCAGTAGCTCTGTCTTTAGGGACTCAGCAGTGCTCGCTGTGACATCTCTCACTTAGTGCATAGGATCCTGTTTGTGCCTGTTCAACAGAGTGTAAAAGTGCATTTCCCCTTTCGGGATTAATAAAATATATCTTCTTCTTCGTTTTCAGGAGTTTTGTGCATGTGTAAAGCACCAAAGGAGTCTACATTCAGTTGTTGTGCAGTCTGAGGTGTTGCACATACATTCTTATTCATGTTTAAAAGCTTCAGATGTTGTATGCGTCACTCTCTGCAGTAGCTGATATTTTGTACTCATGTTTGTAGTTGTCTGGTGGAAAAGGTTTCCGAGTAGAGAGATGATGATGATGGTGATAAGGATGATTTCATGACCAACAGACTTGCCCTTGCTTGTAGATGGCAGATACAGTAAATGGCTCCCTTTCCTCATATACAGTGACTAAAGGAAATGAGAACTAATTGTCTGGCTTGTCATTTTTGAGCATCATAATATAACCTTATAAAACTTAATTGACTTGATAATGATAAGAATTAAATCAACATACCTGACATGATTACTGGTGATAAATCCTCCTGAACTGCACATTTTATGGGCAGTAAAATGTCTGTGTTTGTTTTTCTTTTATTTGCGATGACATTCTAGTCGTAGGGTAACGTTTTTGAAACAAACAAAACGTCTAAATTAACAAAACGGATACAGACATGGTGCCAGCCAGGGCATTTAATGTATAATATATTCACCTTCAGCTCTGCATGACTGTAAGTTATAAAATGACACATTAATGTGATGACAGGCGGTGCATACAGTTGAGTGGAAAACGCTCCAAATAACTGCTGGTTTACACTTCATTAATATTATATCATGTGTTTTAAGTCTATGGTTTTTTCTGCATTCTGACAAAACAATTCTCCACATTGTCCCTGATTCCTACGTGTCAAGGCCTGTTCATGTGGTCTAACCACATACCAACTCTTTGGCAACTACACATGTTCAGTGAAGCAATACAGTCTGGGAATGTTTGAGAAGCTCGGAAGATGAGAGCGTGTAGTGTGTAGGAGCAGTGTTATCAATCTATCAATCTCTCTCTTTGAGATTATCCTTTTGTTCTATTTCCTCCAAATGAACCTGCCAGATCCCAACAGTTCAAAGATAGGGAACTTTTTGAAACAAATGATTTACAAATACAACTTTCACAGCATATACTCTTATCCTTTTTGACATTTTGGGCTTCATCTTTATTTCCATAAAGATAAAGCCCACAATAGAGAGGGGCAGCTGAGTCGTCATCTCTCAACAGGAAGGTGGAGGGTTCGATCGAGGTACATGTCCCATGTGTCCTTGAGCAAGAGACTAAACCCAGAATAGCTCCCGCTGCTTCGTCGGAGGCGTATGAATGTGTTTGAATGGGATTAGTTACCTCTGATGGCCTCACTACCTCTACCGTCAGTGTGTGAATGTGTAGGTGTGACAGTGTAAAAGTGCTTTGAGTAGTCAGAAGACTAGAAAAGTGCTCTACAAGCTCAAGTCCAATTACCATTTACAATATAGTAGGTAATTAGGAGAGAGAGCGGGGAATGCCACATGTCTGATTTGAACCTGGGCCGCCAGCTTTGGGGACTGCAGCCTCAGTTCATTGGCCACAACCTGGGCGCCGGGCCATAGCGAACTGGCTTTATGTGATATAAAATGTGGTTGGTTCTTGGCATTTACTTATCAGGACATTTGTAAGATCCAATCTTCAAATGTTACCAGCGTCTGTTACAGACAGCATGGGGAAATACTTACTCACATAACCTCATCCCACCTCATCAGATTAGGCAAACACAGTACCTTGTCTGCACATGAATACAGACATGAGCAAAGTTATGATGTGCGTATATGGGCACAAATCTGATGGGATTGTTGCTTCATTAGAGTTGTTGCAGATCATGTCCTTTTGGGAGAGCTGCCTTAAAGTCATTCACTGAGAAACATAAAAAATGGATGGCAAAATTTGAGGCAGATGTTTCTTTGAAATGCTGGGCATGCAGGACAGACAGTTAAAAGGTCAAAGTGACATGGTCATGTTTTTGCCTTTACTTCTTTTCTGAGCCCAAATTTCATGAACACAGTTGTGTGATACGGCTAAGTGCTGATAGGCGTTATCTTTGAAACTGCAGCTGACTTCCTTTATTATTTGTATATGGACGAACAACTTTAAAGTATTAAGCACAGCTAGCTTACATTAAGTCTGCCCTGACTGGATGGAGTATTAGAAACCTCATTTCACATGAAGCAACAATAAGAATAAAATACGGCTAAGTGCTGATAGGCGTTATCTTTGAAACTGCAGCTGACTTCCTTTATTATTTGTATATGGACGAACAACTTTAAAGTATTAAGCACAGCTAGCTTACATTAAGTCTGCCCTGACTGGATGGAGTATTAGAAACCTCATTTCACATGAAGCAACAATAAGAATAAAAATAACAAAACCACCATAATCAGAGTTGAATGATCGAACACATACAAAAATATTTAAGTATGAGCTTCCAGAAGGTATCATTTATTGTTGGGCTATGTTAACTATTTGACTGCTTACAATACCAGGCACGTGTACCTGGTAGTAATCAGCCAACTGAGCGTGTGAATATGAAAAGATATATACAAGATATTGTACTAGGATCCTGTAATAGAATATAATCACAGGTGTCTGCTGTACAGGTATTTGACTAAACCTAGAGGAAGTATTAGGGCTGTATTGAAAAAGAAACTGTGCAGCAAAAACAGCAACACATATTGAAGCATTAGAACTGTAAAAGACATGTTATCGTATAGGAAAGAACATCTGAAAATTGTTTTTAAAATGTAAGTAGATGATCGAGAGTGGTCATTGCACAAAATCATTATATTGTTTAAGCAGAAGTTAATTCATTCAGAGTCATTTTTAACACTCACCAAGATGTTAGGTCACATCTGTAAAGAATAAAGAAAGTCCCAACCTTTCCTCTGAAAAACCTCTCCTGTCTTTCTGTAAAAGCTTGTCATCCTCCAGTTCTGTCACTTTCGGCAGCTCTCCTGACACGGAGACGCCCACTGTACACACACACACACACACACACACACACACACACACACACACCTTTCTTGCTGATAAATGTTCTGATGAGAGTGTGTGGACATTGATTCAACTTTGACAGCAATCTCAATGATTTATCACATATAGAGAGTGAACTATTCAGGGGAGAGCTGCTTCTGGACAAGAGGAGAAACAGAAAGTATGCTAACAGAGACTGAGAGATAATGTCAGTCAAATGTTGTTGCCTGCTACACGACTGATCATCTGCTGGACTTGTAAGAACTAGTTTCACTGACGTTTCATTCTCTGCCGTCATTTCCATGACGACACATGAGAGATGCAAAGCACATATTTATATGTTGACACATATTTACATATTTTTGCGTAGTAAATACAACTGCAATGTACAACAATCTACTTTTAATTCAATAAATGGTAAATGGACTACTCAAAGCTCTTAAAACAACTTTGAAGCGGCTCAGAGTATGAGAACAAAATGAAAGTGCCTCGTGGTTATGAACGTCTCTGTCACCATCTGGTGGTCAACACCAGTTAAAACAAGACACTTTCATATTGCTGATATAGAGGAGGTGGGAAATCATTTGTTACAGTTTTTTCCAATTGCTAACACACTAAAATGACATGCATAGCACAATTCCATTTGCCACCTGGCCAAACACCTCAATGGTTAATTGTTATCATTTCAATCTGGAAGTAAGCAAATGAAGAGGAAACATTTGACCAAATGGACAAAAATGTCCATATTGACGCATGAGGGTACAACGCAATGTTGTAATTGAATAGCATGTTAGCATGCTAGTACTGTAACAGAACCACCGGTAATTGAACTCAAAAACACGACTCAAAACAATCTTTGGTAAGGGAAAGAAACAAGCAGACAGAAACCAAAAAAAGGGAA